ATGTATATATATGTATATATATGTATATATATGTATATATATGTATATATATGTATATATATGTATATATATGTATATATATGTATATATATGTATATATATGTATATATATGTATATATATGTATATATATGTATATATATGTATATATATGTATATATATGTATATATATGTATATATATGTATATATATGTATATATATGTATATATATGTATATATATGTATATATATGTATATATATGTATATATATGTATATATATGTATATATATGTTTGTCTGTCTGCCTGTCTGTGTTTCACGCTGTATATCCCGATAGACTCTTTCTTGCACTTGACATTGCATTTGTCAGTTTGACCCCTTGCATGCAACTGCCCACGGGCAATGTCTGTATAGATAACCTTGGTATCATCATGCAGGTGTCAGCAGATCAGTGACTTTAATGAAGTCCCCCTTTAGGTTATATTTATGATGGTTGAATATTTCCTTTTTGGATCATTGGGTCAAGTTGCTCTCGTACTTTGCACACGAGGTGACAGCAAGGTGGAATGATTTTGCTTCAGTATGTATAGATAGATAGACAGATAAATAGATAGATAGATAGATAGATAGATAGATAGATATAGATAGATATAGATAGATAGATAGATATCGATATATATATAGTATAAATATAGTTGTATGTATATATAGATATAGATAGAAAGATAGATAGATATATAGAATATAGATATAGGTGTATGTATATATATAGATATAGTTAGAAAGAGAGATAGATATATATAATATAGATATAGGTGTATGAATATATAGATATAGATAGAAAGAGAGATAGGTATAGATAGAAAGAAAGATATATATATATATATAGATAGATGGATATTTAACAGTAGTTATAGACAGACAGATATATAAAGATATTCATTTATTCTAATCAGTCATACACTCACGGATATGTGTATATATTTATGCACTCTCTGCTATCCGTTTCCAGAGTCTGACACTCACTCCCCCTCCCTCCTTTCCCCCTCCCCCAATTACCTATTCATAAAAAGAATAACCAATGTTGCGTTTGTTTGTTTGTTTGTTTTTTCTTTGATCGTCCTTGCCTCTGCTTTTCAGTCGCGCGTGTTTGTCCTTGCCTTATTGCTCCGTCTTTTCTCGTGTTGTGTGTTTATCCCGCTGTTGCCCGAGCTTAGGAGGATTCCCCAGGCGACTCACAGGTTGCGACACGGGTAATTACGCACACACGCATGCACACGTGGGTGCTGGTGTACGCGCCTTCACTTCGGATGGACTTGGAGGAAAAGAGGGAGTGAGAGAGGGGGTGTGGGAGAGAGTGAGTGAGGGTGAGAGAGTGAATGGGAGTAGGAGTAGGAGTGGGAGTGTGTGTGTGTGTGTGTGTGTCTGTGTCTGTCTGTCTCTTTCTCTCGTTCTCTGTCTCTCTCTGTCTCTCTCTCTCTCTCTCTCTCTCTCTCTCTCTCTCTCTCTCTCTCTCTCTCTCTCTCTCTCTCTCTCTCTCTCTCTCTCTCTCTCTCTCTCTCTCTCTCAAATGAGATAGAACACGAGTAATAGAAAACGAGGGAGGGAGAGAGAGAGGGCAAGAATGTAAGAGAAGACGAGGAAAAGAAGAAAGGGCTTTGGGACGGAAGAAAAACGGGGGAGAGGTCAGGGGGAGGTTAACCATGGGTTTGCGGACAGTGTCAAGTTTTCCTCACATGATGATCAGCCTCTTCCGTGGCACACGAACTCTCTCTCTCTCTCTCTCTTTCTCCCTCTCTCCCTCTCTCTCTCTCTCTCTCTCTCTCTCTCTCTCTCTCTCTCTCTCTCTCTCTCTCTCTCTCTCTCTCTCTCTCTCTCTCTCTCTCTCTCTCTCTCAGAAGCCACGCCTCTCTTCCGCAGCTGAGACGCTGATTGGTCACTGTCCAATTTATAATCACTTTTGGATAATTTCTGGCCATTTCTGAAGTAGTGTTGTCTCCCTATGATTTTTTTTTCTGTGTCGCTATCTTTTCCATTCACAACTTCACGAATTTCCTTGGTAATTAATAACGCTTGTGACATGAAATGGACGCGACTTATATGAAGTGTGTCATGTCACACATTTGTTAATGTAACCCTGAAGAGTGACTGGTCCGAGGCATTAACCGACCGGATTGGATCGTAAAATGTCTGGCCAACGAAGTTTTGTGGCAGGCCTCAGATCTTTCGAGAAAACTATTTCCTTTTGTACAACTTCATTTACTCGGTTGTGCAACGGAGTAGGGGGTGTTGTTATAATAGAAACAAGTAAACAAACTGAAATAACAATAATATTAATAGGGATAATAATGATAATACAATAATAATAATGATGATAATAATGATAATGATGATAATGATAATAAAAATAATGATGATAATGGTAATGCAAATAATGATGATAATAATAATAATGAAAATAATAATGATAATAATAGTTATGATTAATAATAATAGTATTCCTGGACATCTTAATGAAG